AGGCACCTTGATCCACAGCGGGTCGCTACTTGCTCCAGAAGACGTTCCAGAAGCACCCATGCTTTCTCCCAGCCGGATTTGCCCAAACGAACCGAATCCGCTCTGCCACCTCGTGTACACCCAATACCCGATACCTATGGAGGCTGCGATTGGGGCCACAATCGAAAAGAACAATGCCACACCAGAAATGCCATGTTTTTTCTTGTATTCCTTTTCGTGACCTGGGCAAGGTCTAGATTCGAGCTTGTCCAGCTCTCTCCCACCTTGGCACGTCGTCAGCGGTATTCTCCTATATCCTGTGGGATACCAAAACTCGAGTTGATCAGGGTTGTCTCGACACTTCTGCTCGTGATCGGCCGGTTGCAGCCCCGGTACCAGCTGACATGTTCCGTCTGCTTGTGCCTGGTAGTTGTAGTCACATTCAAAATCCTGGCGCGTGCAAGAACAATTCTTTGCGATATTGTGGAGGTGGCTGATGATCTTGCCATTGTAGCATTTGGCATCGGCCCGTTTGCGGTGATATTGAGCCACATGACCGAACAAGCAGTTTGAATCCTGCATAGGATGCTTGGGTTCCCAGAGCGCGTAGTCACCCTTTTCGGGGTTCTTCTCATCGAGTTCACACTTGACTTGACGTTCTTCGAGGCCGGAAAAGTCCAGATGCACGGTGAAGATGCCACGTTTGGCGTTTCCCCCTACCTCACGCCCCCAGAGGAGGAAGTTGCGGGAGTTGTCTGATGGTACGGTGGTGATCGCGTCAATCTGCATTTCCACATCTGGGGAGAAGACGAACTCTCGCCACGTCCTACCCTCATCTAGAGTGTAGAAGAGAGATTTGGTGGGTTGGGATTCCTTGACAATCACGATGATGCTGCCCTGATCGCCATACTCCCACATGTAGCTGCCCTTCTTGACGGATTGCCAAGTGATACCAGCGTCGCGAGTGATGAAGGTGTCTGTGGCTTCATCATCTTTCCGAAGAAGATGCTCTCCAACGTTGCCCACGGCCATCATTAGTCCAACTGCACTAGGGCTGGAGAATGTGGCTGACTTGTCCACACGTTCGGTATAGCTGTGAATGTGCAACGAGCATTTTGCAGTGGCCTGGTTGGCCTCTTCGACACAAGGGTAGTTTTTCCCCAGCGCATCCTCTTTTGGTGGAGGGAGATAGGCCCATTGAGCCCCGTCATTGTGGGTAATCATCGATTTCAGCTTTTTTCTCTCCCCATTGTTCGTCTCATCTATGTTGGACACGACATTGACCATGGCGACTCCTTCGAGACCTTGCATTTTCTCAAAATCGACGTACCCTTCAGTGTCCCGGTTCACTCCACCCAGGGTGAAAACGTAGGATGTACCGTTGCTGTTGGACTTGATGATTGCACCATACTCGTGATCTTGAGCAGCATTCACGGTTACGTGGAGGAATACAGCATGAGTAGAGCTGTCCAGAACCGTATAGGCTTGTTGGTGTTTCACTTGGAAATTTCGAGGAAATTCTGCGGGCGCAAAGGTTCGTCCATCTACACTTGCGTCTACCTTCAAGCTCTGCTTGTCCTCTGTCTTTGCGGCGACGATAATGAACTCCGACATGGTCGCAAAGTCCAAAATATCAGGAAAATGCACCTTTGATTCGGCAAAGAAATTGTCGCTGGACAAAAGCATGAGATTCTTGTCCGGGTTTTCATCTTGATACTGTTCACAGTAGATCAACTGATCGCCTTGGCCTTGACCTTCGCGAGTGATGAATTCACATTTTCTGGCGTAACGGACCAAAGTATCCCAGTGGTCACCGCGGTCTTTAGACAACCAAATGTTGGTATGGTCGTCATTCCCAACGGCGCCTGACCAGAGTAGCCAGTCCTTGTACCCAGGGTGAAACCGTAAAGTGGGGAGGCGTAGAGTGCTCGGTCGTTCCGGCGCAGTAAATTTGTTGAATCTGTCTCCTCGGTCGATGGTGTAGTGGACTGTTTTAGAGCCTGTGAGGAAAAAGACGGCATCGTGATGGTAAGGGCTGGGTGCAATAGCAGTGATCGGTTCGCCCTTGAGAATTGGCTCCCAGGTTTTGCCATGATCTCGTGTCAAGAAGATGTCTTGTTCACTCGTGCGCATCACAATGGTCTCATCATTGCCGTGGGAGGTGTCGCTTCTTTCAAGATAATACCATTCCGAAAACCGATCGGCGTTGAAGTTGGTTTTCTCGACGGTGATCTCTCCCGAGGCGGGTGTCTTCACCGAGTCTGAGCATGGTCTTTCAATCTCCTTGTCTAGCTCTTCACCGCCCTTCCGCTGGCATTCATTGCCTGGAATCATTCGCCAGCCCGAGGGGCCCTTAAATGTGTCCTTCTCGCTCTTGCAGGCGCCCTCTGGCACCGCGATCGGCTGTGCGGGATTGCATTTGGTGCGATCGTCCGGATCCCGGACAAAGTTGTAGTCGCACTCAAAATCAGCCATCGTGCAGACGCACGGTTCAAATTCAGGCACAGGGTCTTTAAATTCCTCATCGATGAAGCATTCGGCATCAGCCTTGCGTCTCCTGAAGAATTGCTTGTGACCCATGAGACAGCTCGGTTTACCATCTTTATCGACACGCGCAGGCCAACGCTCAAAGTCATCTTTGCCGCATGCACGTTCATGCAAACCCTCAAAGTCGATTTTGAATATAACCCATTCGGTTTTCGAACCTGTCCCCTTCGCGCCCATCATGAGGAATTTGAGGGTGGTGGAGTCTGGGACGGTGGTGATAAACCTGGCGCGTACTTTTTCCGGAAGCTCTGCCTTCTTCCAGGTCTTCCCATGATCGATCGAGTATCTTATGTGGCTTGTGGAATCCTCGTCATCAACGGCGACTATAACTGCCCCCTGGTTTCCAAACTCGTACAAGTGAGCACCGTCCAAGCCTTCATACCATGTGACGCCAGCGTCATCCGAGACAAAAAGATCACCATCTTCGTAGTCTTTCAAGAACTTTCCGGTATTGCCAATTCCCATAACAATACCCGGGGCTGGGCTGGAGAAGATCCTCCCTGTTTGCCTTGCATCGGTAACTGAATGCAGATGCAGCCTCTTGTCGCCAACTTTGAGATCCTGGAAAGTCCGTCCATCGTCGAAACTAATCTGAGAAATAATTTCCTTTCTAGGAATGGTGGATCCCTCGACATCCTTCCAGTTGTCTACAACGTTCACCAAGACGATCCCTTGAATCGACTGGACTTTCTCGAAGTCGACGTTGCCAAAGATATTGCGATTCGTGTGGTCAATATTCCGAGTAAAATAAGTGCCGTTGGAGTTCGAGGTGAAGAGGTAACCCATGGGATTAGTAGGTCGGGACCCGAGTACATCGACCTGCAAGCTGTAGTTGGTGCTTTCCAGGATCGTATATGCATCTTCGTCTATCCTGTGCTGTCCAAATTCTGCTCGATGCCACTGTGATGCGTCCTTTGTCACGTAGAGAGCCAACTCGTCCGTGCCTTCTGATTTCGCAGCTGCAACCAAGAATCCTTTGACCGCAGCCATGCTGATAATCCCAGTCACAGCTCGGCCATCATCAAGCGCAGGCTCGAGCTGATCTCCTTGGAAGAAATCATCGGACACGATGAGTCTGTTATCCTTTGGCCACGGGGAGTATAGCCCTTCCACAATACAGAATATCCGATCTCTTATTTCAGGAGCAAGCTCCTCTGCAAAGTCGGGGGCGCTGACAGCCCATTGGCACCCTCGGGTCATATCACCCAACCTCTTGGTCGTCTTGAAGTCATCATCGGTATAGAAAGCCCGCTCGATACAGGCCAAGCCGAGACAGTGCTCCGCGTTCCAAATTACTCGCTGGGGGTCGCGGCCGTGGAAGCTCAACGGAGCATTGCGAAATCTCGCAAGACCATCGCCATCAGAGGAAAACTTCCTCCACGTCTCACCGGTATCTGTTGTCACCCAGTGGTCCGAGTCTAAGCCAATGATATATGCGCGCTGGTTGTCGTAGGGATGCCGGTATACGTCCAAGGCATTTCCCGATTGTCCTTGATCATTGATCTCTTTCCACGTCTCGCCCGCATCAGCACTGCGCCACACAATGCCGGTCTCACCATCGTAGCCGATGACGACGTCCGAGTCATCGAAGTAGAAGACGTTTTCTAGCGGGTTATCAAAGGTCGTAGCGGAGATGGTTGGACCATCTTTCTTTGCTTGCGTAGGCTGCGGAGAAGAGGCTAGCAACAGGAGGAGAGCGACCGACGAGGCGACTGCGCGACGACAGAAGGATCTTATTATCATCTTTGATTACCGCATCGAGCGGACCGAAGAGGTTGAATTACAGACAGCAGAATACCTGCAAAAGAAAAGCTTTGAAAACGAAGCAAGAGTCGAACTGGACACAGTTGTCGGGATTGGAGAAACAGAATGGCGTTGCCTGCAATCAACAATTCTTTGAAGTTCGTGGCTCACGGGCACTTTTGGACTATCTACGAGTAAGAATCAGGGTCCCTGCCCCAATAGGGGTAAGCGTCACCACCTTAAAACGCGGCTTCGACGGGGAGCAGCGTGCTGGAAGCTCCCTTGGCTCCCTATCTCCTTTTTAACTACAAGCACCTAGTGAGCATAAACGAGTGGCGGGCGGCAGAAGGTTGACCCTCCTGCCTTATAAATTTCAGCTATTGCACTGTGGGTGAAGGAGAGGGTATTATTGTTCGTGTTTCATCAAGCTATTCTCGCCTTTGTATCCGTTTCCCAGACTGCTAAATTTGGGCCAACCATCTCTAGGTCCCAAATAGAATGCCAACCAACCCGTCTGGATATGCAAGCAGCCGTGGCAGACTGCTGCCTCATTCCTTCCCTCTTCCCGGTTTCCATTCCCAGGTTCTGAGGCCCTTCAGTAACTAAGCAATATTTCCAGCCCGAACGCCAACGCTCAAATAACGCACTTGTCAGATGCAGATATCCCATGCGATTGCTTCGTTAAGACCAAAAAAAATGATATATGCCACTCGAACGTCAAAATTGTAGACTCATTTGAGCCTCAATTTTCGGAGGAACCGTTTCACTTTGGATTCCTCAGCGGGCAGTGTATCCCATATTGATAGAGCATTTCCGTCCACAGGGACATCAACTCGCTCTAATACAGGTTTGTTGGCCTTCTTTTGAGGGCCTGATTGCGCGACTTGTTCTTCTGGTGAACGAAGGTCTGGTCTCGTCAAAGTCATGTGTAGCGTCATCTCTCGGTCTGCGGTGACGCCTCGCGGATATGGCTCAGGCTGTCTTCGGATTGAAAACGGTCTCAGTCCTTTGACCCCGTCGATACTGGATTTGTGGGATGGGCGGTGCATTTGGAAAACAGGCTCTTCAGGTGTTCGAGGGTCAAACATGGTATCTGGTTCGTCAGCGTCGTCTCCATCGTCTCCTGATAACGATGGTGTGTCGTCATGGAAGAAGGTGCGGTTGAATTCAGGTCTCGGTTGTGGACTTGTCATAGGTCTGTTATGGTTCCATTGTTCTCTTTCTTCCACGGACGGAAACCCAAACTCGATGGCCTCGTCGAACTTTTGCGGCGAGGCAAGATAAAGTCTAAGCTTCATTCGAGCTGCAGGATCTTGATAATGCGTGGCTCGAGGGTCGATAGATGAGATGGACGCTTGAGATCGGAGATGTCTCAAGGAGAAGGAGGACGAACGTGTGTGGGGAGGTATAAAAGGCAGTGCCGGCGTTGGAGGTGCTTCGACCGGAGGGCGTGAGGATGATGTCGAGGTCCGACCACGCCGTATGGAGAGGCTTGACAGGGAAGGATTTCGTCGTGAGCGACGCCGGATGGGTGCTGATACCGACGTTGTCCGCCGGTTTGTTTCCGCAATAGCTTCGTGATAGTCATCCAACTTGAGATCGAGATCTCCATCATCCTCCAGCCATCGAAACCCGTCCATTGAGTAGTCGCCCATGTCAACAGCGGAGTCAACCCTCGGTTGGTCTTTCAGCTCTTCACAGTCAACAACGGTGGCGTCATCAGAACCCCGGCGTTCAAACACGGCAGTGTGACCGGGATGCCAACTGCGGCGACGGAGTGTTTCGTCTGCGGAATCGAGGATGATTGTGTTTCTCTCTTGGGAGTAGAACGAGCACTCTTCCCTCGAGAATAACTTTCTTTGGACGGCAGGGGGCAAGGAAGCGAACCAAGCGACCGTGGTTGGGGTGATATCTGCTGCCGAACAGCGCCTCCTCCGCAGTCTCTTGACGTTCAAGAAGTGTCCGGTCTGTGTGATTCCGTGGGTCAGTATGGTGAAAGTGTCGGAGGTTTGGGTCGTGAAGCCAACATTGTTTGTGGGATGAATTGAGAGACGGGAAGGGGGCCGTGAGAGGTTTCTGCCATCTTCGGCGAGTCTGAGACGTTCTAAACTACTAAAATACTGGTGCAACACGTATGTTAGCTCGTGGACCTGCAGAATAAGCGATCGAATGAGGCTGTTGTTTTTTTCTAACGGTCGCAAGAGACAAGTCGCAAAGGTGGAGGAAGCTCTGTTGGATGCCGAGTAGTGTTGGTAGTGTTGGTGGTCCCTGCTTCGAGGTTGGAGGACCGTGCCGCGCCCAGGCAGCCTAAGGGCTCTTTATCTGGGCTAAGGTCGACATGCCTAAACTCCAAGTGTCCAAAGCCCGGAGTGCTGGCGTCCGGTAGTGGTGATAGCGTGGATTCAGTGTGTGTGGTGCCGGTGAATGATCACCAGAATGACGTGGGATGGCCCCGGAAAGGATGGGTCTTGTTTCCAGAGATGGCAGTGATGGGCATCCTCCTTGCGGGCTCGCATGCCTTTGGCCTGAAGATCATGGTGAAGATCCCGTTTCATCCACCATGAAGAATCCCTAGGCACCCAGCCTAGGGATGGCGGTAAAAGATGGTTGTTTGCAGTGGTGAAGTTGGATTTACCAGGAGACTCTGAATGTCTACCGAAATGAGGGAAAGAGAGATTGGACAGAGGCTAACTCACTTTTCGGATCACCACTGGAGGCAATGTATCGAAAGCCACATCATTGGGAAACGAAGGGCGTCGAGAGTTTCGCATCATTGTAGCAAAAGGTTGCAGTATTGTTGGAAAACCTTTGGGCTAACAATTATCGTGGTGTAATATTTGCTCCGCACTGGGGTTTCGCTGCATATTTCTCTCGTGTCTTGCACGCGTGTTTCCCCTCCCCAAGAGAGACGATTTTCTTCGGGTAGCTCAGGTGGCGGTCGGTCCGAAGATTGGTATGCGTAGGTCTCCCTTTAGACTTCGGAAAGCCCAAAGTGTGCCTGGGGGTGTGGCAGTGATCGACTCTAATTGCTGGATGTCCTTGTTGTGTACACAGTAGCCTAGTCTCTCGCTTGTGCACAGAGAGGCTTAAGTTGTTGGACAATTGAGGAATATGGAGACCTGGGCTGAAATTAGGAAAGTGTATCTGTAGAGAACGAATGACTATTATAGTAATAATAACAACAAGAGGTAGAAGAGAAGAAGATGTAACAAGGCGATTAGGGGAGGATGAGTGCAGCCATCTACCCCAGCTATATGTATTTTTCTGAAGCCTGACACTGGAGAAATGAGCATTTCTCAAACCGTGATGTGCGTGGCCCTGGGCTGAGATTAAACTCGACTCCGCGTACGGACATGGCAGCCCTGTCCATCATGCGGATGCAGTCTAGATACAAAGCCCTGCGACGTCTGGATTCGCCGTGGCGCTGCAGTTGCTCGTCTAGACCTTACAAGGTACGCTGTCCCTCCGTCCCTGCCTTGCCTGCTCATCCTCAATTGCTGACCTTGACGTACGGGATTCGCGCCATCGGCCGTGTTTGAAACGCCCAATCCACACGAAACTCTCCTGTTGGCCCGCTATCTTCCGCAAGGCGTCCTCGTGGTTCTTGCTAAGCGACACCAAGGTTCATGCCACAACGCGAAACCAAACCGACAGACGTGAGATGCCGGCGAACCCACTGAAGCCAGCAAACGAACTGCTGCAAACAGTCTGGAATCCCGCCTCCACATCAGGTAGCCGATATATTGTGCCACCAATTTATTTCACGAGCTCCCGGCATGTCCTTTCATGCCAAAGGGTCTCGATATGGCGCACATAAAGGCCAGAGGACATGACGCCCCCGGAGAAGGGTAGAAGTTTGAAAAGATGACCCAAGCCAAACAAACCCATCAGTCAGTTGTGCAAGTCGACATGTCATATTCTTCGACGAGCTTCAACTGTCAAGATGACCCTTCGCTTCGAGACCAGATTTCCTGCGGTTCAGCTACTTCCTCTTCGGCAGACTAAAAGATTTGGTGCGGGCGTTTGGCGCCTGAACCCGCGTGGCAGGCAGGGATCAGAGAATATCTTCCTACCATCCCATGCACGGCATACTACAATTTGTGGCTGCAGAGAAGTCTCAGGTGTCAGGAGATCGGAATATCAGCAAGCGAAGAGGCGCACGGGAACGCCGTAAAAATTCCAGACCTGGTTGAACAAATTGCTGTCAAGCTGCAGCCAGATCAGTTTGAAATTTCAAGTCGCTGCCCCCTTCCAACACGCTGCGGTAACCACATTCGAAAGCCGCACGAGCTGTGCAACCATCTGATGGGACAAAGCCAGGACGAATTGTTCGCGAACGCTGCCCTATCCTGGAAGGAAGAAATTACATCTCGGACTGACACCGGGAAACCTACGCACCAGGTTATCGATAATTCGCCTGGTAAGTTCTGACTGTACCACTGTTTGTTTTGGGAAGTATCTCTGTTGCAGCGTCTCCGAGAAGGTGTCATACCACGGTACCTCGTACTTGTATCTGGCCAGCCCTTCGCACATCCTCGCCGCTTTTTATTCTATTTATTTCGGCGGTCGCTCTCCATCCCCACCCTTTCTTAGGTCAGAACGGGAAGCACTGATAATGACCACTGGCATCCAACACGAATAAATGGAATCTGGTCTACGTAGTAGCGTCCGTTATCGAAATGTCTCCTCAGCCCTGTGTCCCAGTTTGCGATTTATCAAGTTCAGGTCGTCGCTCTTTCTTGGCTTCCTGGGTGGACAACAATTCGCCAGACGCAGACCATTTAGCGAGATGCAGTAGCAAGCTCGTCAGGTACATTTCGGCTCGCAAAGAGCTAACCGGTACGAGGATTCAGAAGCGCAAGCCGACAGGACAGGCACTTGTCCCTTTGTGATCTCAGATTAGCATTCAGCTCGTCCACAACTGTTACAATTATACCCATAGCTCATCATGTAGGCAATTATTTCCGGTGTCTTTGACCAGGTAAGCCGGCGGAGTGAGTTGTGGTGCGCAAACCTTGAAGAATTCAATCCAGATTTTGGGGTAAAGCTACTGCTGGTTCTGGCAACGTCATCACTCGCCAAACTTTCTGAGAAGTCAGGGAGTGTAGCCGATTCCCCTCGCCCCATACAAAGGCTACGGAATAATTCATGGCAAAAGGGGCTCGACTCAAGTCTCCTGGTCCTCGATTTACTCTAGAAACGAGTCGTTGTGGACTACTCGGTACTCCGTACAAGGTTCGGAATGTCAACAGGAGATTTCGACCAGTCAACCAGTACCTGTTCTCGTCATAGGCACGAGGAAGGGGTACCTTGGAGGTCGTCAAAAAAAGGGGGGAGCTCCAGGCCAAGACAAGACTACCATATTGCATCTCCTGTGGTTGTTTTAGGAGATGCGCAGCAACAAAACAAGTACTTTAGTCTCTCGGACACCGTGCTGGTCATCAAAAGACTCCGAGAAGGGGATTTTATTTTAATTCTTAAAAAGTGTGCTGCAGATTCGGGCGTCCCAATGTGAACTCCGGTGACTGGGAATGCTAGGTTAGGTCCGAGTGCATAAACAGTATAGAAGAAAATCTGCAGGTCTCTGAAATGTCCGGCTCCCGTGGCCAACCATGATGCGGTGCCTGGAACAAGGTCTCATTATTAATGGTGGGACAGAGTCAGCTGGACGCACTCCAAGTGGTGGTCGTTGGTGGCCTCTGAGAAATGGGTGGCGCCGGTTGACGAGGACGACGCTCAAATCGAGGCTGAGGAACCAGGGGAGGAGATGGGGGGGACGGGGCCCCCTATTCCGCAACACGTAAGGCTTCCCCTACTCCCTCAACGTTGCTCGTGCGCCTGGGGGTTTCCTGCGCCGGCTAAGCTTCTAGGCTGGGCGCTAAGTGGCCGAAATGGGCCTCACACCGTGTCTCGTGTGTCACGGTTGGCACCCTTAACACCCTTAGCACCATTGGCATCATTGGCATCGCAACCTTCCAAGCCAACGCCGCCGCGTTGGCGGCGCGGTTGACGAAACCACCCCCCGTGTCATTGTCTCAAACAAGCAGTCAAATCAACATCTGCGGGTTTTTTTCTGCGCTCTCTCTCCTGGATTTTATTTCGGTCGTCTACCACTCGCACTGGCACACGTACTTCTCTCCACTACTGTACAAAGTAGAAAAAAGTCCTTCGTTCACCTTGTATCTTGCCCATCGCCCTTGTATTAATACATACCTGTGCGACTCAGCTCCACTGCGCCTCTGATCTTGCTTTCTCTGTGCATCAATATCAACATCCCTACCAAAACAAGATGCGTTTCGCACACGCGATAGTTGGCGCACTCTGCGCAGTCGTGGCATATGCACAGAACAATAATGCCATCAGCATTCCTGGCGGTCAAGGTACTCTGGACGTGACGGCAGGCCAGCCCCTTACAATAGAATGGACCAATCCCTCAAGCGGCACGGTTACCATCAAGCTGCAGCAAGATCCCATCACCCCTGATTCCGGTGTGGTCCTGGCGTGTACGTGAACACCTCGACTGTGCTACAGCTTTCTACATTGGATATTTGCTGACCCTGACCCTAGCCAACATCCCTGCCTCTGCCCTGACCGCAACTCTTCAAATTCCTCCTGCGGAAGACGTCAACTCCCACGTCTACACGATTGAGATCAT